GGTGGAGGGTCGACGAAAGAGGGGGAGGCCTTCAGGGAGATGGATTGATACAGTGGCTGCGATGATGGGCTCGAGTATAGCAGGGATTGTGGGGCTGGCACGGGATCGGGCAGTGTTTCATTCTGCTGTGCATGGGGTTGCTATGAGTCGGAAACGACTCGACGGCATTTAACAACAACAACAACAACAACAACAAGAAGCATCCATGTGTGTCAGGCATTGTACTAGGTATCAGTGTTACACCAATACACAAGACAAAAACTTACTGCCCTCAGGACATTTGTGTTTTAGTGAAGGGTATAATTGTTATTGAGAAAAACGAAGTGAGAAATTGGGATAAATTGACAGAAGGTGAGGTGATATTTTAAACAGAGTAGTCAGAAAAGCTGAATGTTTGAGTCAACTCAAAGGAACCTTGGAAGAAAGTCCTGATGATCTACTTCTGGAAAAAATCAGTCATTGAAAACCCTATGGAGCACTGTTCTACTTTGACATACATAGGGTCACCATGAGATGGAGTTGAATGTATGACAACTGGTTTCATCAGAGAAGGCATCATTGATAAGGTGGGATCTGAGGACACTTGGAGGAGGAGACAGGAGCTATGCAGGTGTTTTGGGGGAAGAGCATTCCAGGCAGAAGAAGCAACAAGGGTAAAGCCCTGAGTTAGGATGAGTCTGGTGTGTGAGAGAAATAGAAAGGAGGGCAGTAGAATGTTCAGAGGGAGATTGGTAGGAAATGAGAGAAACAATGAGGGGAGGGGTGGGACCTGAACATTCATAGCCTTGTGGGAAGAACTTTGGTGTTTACTCTAATGAGATTTGAAGCCACTGAGGGGCTTGGCAGGGGAGTATCATGATTTGAATCAAGATTTTAAAAGATCCCTTTGGATGCTAAGCTGAGAATAAACAGGTAGGCCCTGAGATGTGACCAATATTCTTAGCAACACAGAGGTTCTTGTTGTTGTTGTCAGGTGCCGTTGAGTCATCTCTGACTCATAGCGACCCTATGCACAGCAGTACGAAACACCGCCTGGTCCTCTGCCATCCTCGCTATCCTTGCTATACTTCAGCTCATTGTTGCAGCCACTGTGTCTATCCATCTTGTTGAGGGCCTTCCCCTTCTTTGTTGGCCCTCCACTTTACCAAGCATGATATCCTTCTCCAGGGAATGGTTCCTTTCTGACAACATGACCAAAGTAGGTGAGATGAAGTCTGGCCATTCTTGCTTCCAAGGAGCATTCTGGCTGCACTTCCTTCAGGACAGATCTGTTAGTCCTTTTAGCAGTCCATGGTACTCTTAGCATTCTTCTCCAACACCACAACTCAAAAGCATCAACTCTTCTTCAGTCTTCCTTATTCATTGTCCAGCTCTCACATATATAAGAGGCACTTGAAAATACCATGGCTTGGGTTAGGTGCACCTTAGTCTTCAAGGAGACATCTTTGCTCTTCATCAATTGAAAGAGGTCCTTTGCAGCAGATTTTCCCAATGCAAAATATGTTGTCTGATGTCTTGATTGCTACTTCCATTGGTATTGACTATAGAGCCAAGTAATATGAAATCCTTGACAACTTCAATCTTTTCTCCATCTACCATGAAGCTGTTTATCGGACCAGTTGTGAGGATTTTTGTTTTCTTTATATTGAGGTGTAATCCATACTGCAGACAGTAGTCTTTAAGATTCATCAGTAAGTGCTTCAAGTCATCCTCACTTTCAGCAAGCAAAGTTGTGTCATCTGTGTATTGACATCTGCAGGTTGTTAATGAGTTTCCTCCAATGCCATGTTCTTCTTCATATAATCCAGCTTCTTGGATTATTCGCTCAGCATACAAATTGGATAACTATGGTGGAAGGATGCAACCTTGATGCACTCCCTTCTTGATTTTGAACCATGCAGTATCCTCTTGTTCTGTTCAAATGACAGCCTCCTAATCTATGTACAGATTCCTCATGAATAAAATCAAGTATTCTGGAATTCCCATTCTTTTCAATTTTATTCATAATTTGTTATGATCCACACAATTGAATGCTTTTGCATAGTCAATAAAACATAAGTAAACATCTTTCTGGTATTCTTTGCTTTCAGCTAAGATCTATTTGACATCAGCAATGATATTCCTTGTTCCACATCCTCTTCTGAATCCAGCTTGCATTTCTGGAAGCTCTCTATCAATATACTGGTATAACCATTTTTAAATTATCTTCAGTAAGATTTTACTTGCATGTGATGTTAATGATATTGTTTGATAATTTCCACATCCTGTGGGATCACCTTTTTTTGGAATGGGTACAAATATGGATCTCTTCCAGTCAGTTGGCCAGGTAGGTGTCTTCCAAATCTCTTGGCATAACTGAGTGAGTGCCTCCAGTGGGGCATCCGTTTGTTGAAATATCTCAATGGGTATTCCACCAATTTCTGGACCTTGTTTTTCACCAATTCCTTCAGTGCAGCTTTAATTTCTTCCTTCAATACCATTGGTTCTTGATCATAGGTCACCTCCTGAAATGGATAAACATTGACCAATTCTTTTTGGTACAGTGACTCTGTGTATTCCTTCCATCTTCTTTTAATGCTTCTTGCATCATTCAATATTTTTCCCATAGAATCTTTCAATATTGCAACTCGAGGCTTAAATTTTTCATCAGTTCTTTCAGCTTGAGAAATGCTGAGTGTGTTCTTCCCTTTTGGTTCTCTAACTCCAGGTCTTTGCACAATTCATTATAGTAATTGGCTTTGTCTGCTTGCTAAAATCTGTTCAGCTATTTTATCTTGTAATTTCTTCCATTTGCTTTAGCTACTTTCTGCTCAATGGCAAGTTTCAGAGTCTCTTCTGACATCCATTTTGTTTTTTAGTTCCTTTCTTATCTTTTTAATGACCTCTTGCTTTCTTCATGGATGGTATTCTTGTTGTCATCCCACAATTCCTCTGGTTTTCAGTCATTGGTGTTCAATGCATCAAATCTATTCTTTAAATAGTCTCTAAATTCAGGAGGGATATTATCAAGAGCATATTTTGGCTCTCATGGACTTGTTTTAATTGTCTTCAACTTCAACTTGAATGTGCATATGAGCAGTTGATGGTCTGTTCCAAAATCAGCTCCTGGCCTTGTTTTGGCCAAAGATACTGAACTTCTCCATTGCCTCTTGCCACAGATGTAGTCAATCTGATTCCTGTATATTCCATCTGGTGAAGTCCAGGTGTATAGTTGTTGCTTATGTTATTGAAAAAAGGTATTTGCAAGGAATAAGTCATTGGTCTTGCAAAATTCTATCATGCAATCTCCAGCATTATTTCTATCACCAAGGCCATATTTTCCAATTACCAGTAACTCTTCTTTGTTTCCAATTACTGGTAACTCTTCTTTGTTTCCAACTTTTGCATTCTAGTCAGCAGTGATAATCAACACATCTTGATTGCATGTTTGATCAATTTCAGACCGCAGAAATTGGTAGAAATCTTCAATATCCTCATCTTTGGCTTTGGGGGTTGGTGCATAAATTTGGATAATAGTAGTATTAATTGGTCCTCCTTGTAGGCATATGGATATTATCCTATCACTGACAGTACTGTACTTCAGGACAGATCTTGAAACACTCTTTGTGACGATGAATGCCACACCATTCCTCTTCAATTTGTCATTCCTGGCATAGTAGCTCATATGGTTGTCTGATTCAAAATGGCCAAAACCAGTCCATTTCAGCTCACTAATGCCTAGGATATTGATCTTTATGCATTCCATTTCATTTTTGATAACTTCAATTTTCCTAGATTCATACTTCATATATTCCATGTTCCAATTATTGATGGATATTTGCATCTGTCTCTGCTCATTTTGAGTCATGTCACAACAGTCAATGGAGGTCCTGAAAGCTTTACTCTACCCATATCATTAAAGTCATCTCTACTCTGAGGAGTCAGTTCTTCCCCAGTCAAATTTTGAGTGCCTTCTGACCTGATGGCCTCATCTTCCGGCATTATGTCAGAAAATGTTTCAGGACTGTTCATAAAGTTTTCCAGTAATATATCAGACAGTGTTTCACTGCTATTCATAAGGCTTTCACTGGCCAGTTCTTTGAGAAATGGATGGTCTCTTCCTTCTTCCTAGACTGTCTAAGCCCAGAAGCTCCGCTGAAACCTGTCCACAATGGGTAACCCTGCTGGCATTTTGCAACACAGT